AGCTTAGTTTCAGAGGGTGTGGGGGGAAGATAGAATCTCCACTGAGTGGTTTCCAACCTGTCTAGACAGGACTGGTGAAAGGAGATGGGGATGAGACTCTTGTGGTTCAGTAGTGAATAATTGCTATCAGGACTGATTGTGAATGTTGCAAATGTAAAGGTAGACATTTTGTAACAAAAGGAGGGGAGTAGTTGATCTTGCAGTCCAGGAGCAGAGAACCCTGGGACCATCAAGGGAGAAAAGCGGAGTGAGGGATCCTATCCAGAGCAACAGCGATGCCAGAGATGGAGGCAGAGACGATGACGTGGAGAGATGGAACTGCTAGGAACTCTAGACTCAAGGACAGAGAGGGGCTGTATGATGGCAGCTGGGGGGCAAGATTGCAGAGTGTGCCCTTTGGTTATTTGAATGGTTGTATATTCCTGAATGCTTTGGTGTACATTAAAAAAACAAAAAACAGAATGGAAGCAAATGCTTTTGATTGATGATGCATGGAGGGGATTGTAATCATTGCAATGAAACAAAATACGATAGGGTGAATGTAAACTTGATGTTCTCCCATGTAAACTATCACTCAATTAACAATATAAACTTTTTTTAAAAAAAAGGTCTTGTGCAGCAAATTTGCCTAATGCAATACGTCATTTGATTTCTTGGCTGCTGCTTCCATGAGTGCTGATGATTGAGCCTAGAAAAATGAAGTCTTTGATAACTTCAATCTTTTCTTCATTGATAAGAAAGTTGTTTGTTGGTCCAGGGGTGAGGATTTTTGTTTTCTTTACATTGAGATGCAGTCCATACTGAAAGCTTTGGTCTTTGATCTTCATCAGTATTTTAAGTCCTCTTCACTTTTAGCAAGCAAGGTTGTATCATCTGCATATCTCAGGTTGTTAACGAGTCTTCCTCCAATCTTGATGCCATGTTTTTCTTCATATAACCCAGCTTCTCAGAATATTTGCTCAGTATACAAGTTGAATAAATATGATGAATGAATACAACCCTGTCATGCACCTTTCCTTATTTCAAACCTTTCAATGTTCCCATGTTCTGTTTGAACAGTTGCCTCTTGGTCTATGTACAGGCTCCTCATGAACACAAGTAAGCGTTCCGGAATACTCATACTTCTCAATGTTGTCCATAGCTTCACACTGTCGAACGCCTTTCAGTAGTCAATAAAGCACAGGTAAACATCTTTCTGGTATTCTGTTCTTTCATCTAAGATCCATTTGACATCAGCAATGATATCCCTCATTCTACGTCCTCTTCTAAGTACAGTTTAAACCCCTGGAAGTTCTCTGTCAATGCATGCTTGCAGCCGTTTCTGTATTAACCGTTAGGAAAACTTTACTTGCATGGGATATCAAAGATATTGTCCGATGATTTCTGCATTCTACCTCTTGAAACAGTTGATCATCTACCATTTGCTTTTGGTACAGTGACTCCGTGTATTCCTTCCATCTTCTTTTGATGCTTTCTGCATCATTCAATAATTTGCCCAGAGAATCCTTTAATAACGAAAGTTGAGGCTTAAATTTTTTCTTCAGTTCCCCCAGCTTGAGAAATGCTGAGCATGTTTTTCCTTTTTGGTTTTCAAACTCCAGATCTTTGCACATTTCGTTGTAATATTTGACTTTATCTTCTCGAGCTGACCTTTGAAATTTTCTGTTCAGCTCTTGGACCTCCTCATTTCTTCCATTTGCTTTAGCATCTCTATTCTGGAGAGCA